AGTGTATAATATAATATACATATATTACAATGTGAGTATAAATTGTCGTGTATGCATATTGCATAAGTATGTATTATGTATGGCGCAAAATGTGGACCTTATGTGATGCGGTTTCGTCCGTATTTACTATACTTACCGTTAGATAACGTTTATCGAACCGAGCACGGAAAATAAATTAAAGAGAGTGAAACGTCCGATTTTATGGCCCGGTGTAAATGTTCAGGTTCAATTTTGAGTTTAATGATGGCCATACACTTTTAAGGAGACGCATGTTACCCGTATAATACAAAATATATAACGTCACCGTCTGTCCAACGGACAATATACAGCCCAATATTCCACTAAAATGGTAGCTTTTCAGTTTAAAGTGTTTAAACACCTATTTGGACGATATTTTAAAATGAGAACGTTTTTTGAACATTTTATTAATCATAACTAACCTAACCGAGATCTGATTCGATATTTTATTACCTTACTATCTTGGTATGTATACTATATTAGGTATAATAAACAGTCCATGATTAACCAATTATATAGTTAGTAATTTAGTATATTATTATGATAATAATTATTTTTTAAATTTTTCTAAAACTCTTAGAAAACACTTAAAATTAAACCAATATATAACCTATGCAGTTATAAACCGTATAAGTTCATAAAATTGAAGATTTTAAAACTTGAAATATAAAATAATATAATTTTTTTTTTTTTTATTTGAACAGATTTTTTTTTTATTTAAGAAAAATAGGATGCATAAGTACATTATACATAAAAAAATGTACAAGTTAAAACTAGAACGGTTTAAATGTATTATTATTTATTATATTTAATCTACCTCACTAAGCAGTGCTTGTGACGAGGTAGATAAGTTGACAGTATAAAATATAATATTTAAAAATAAAAAAACGAGAAAATTAACTTTAAATTATACAAGCAATATTTAAAACATTTAAACTCCTATTTAATACACAAGTGAGTCTACACAACAACATTAAGTAAAACAATAAGTAAAAATTGTATTAAAACTAAGACATAATATGCACTAAAAACGTTTCATGCTTTTAATTTCTATGCTACTAAACTTTTGTGATTGTTTAGCATATTATATAGTACGAATATTTATGATCAACCAGATTAAATATGCAAATGTATATAAATCCGCGCTATAGCTTATAACTTTTTTTGTAAAATATTGTGTAACGAATATGAGTGTCCTACTATACATAGGTATACCCATACAAATAACTAATAAGAAAGACCCTGTAATTTTTTCGTTTAACAATATTTTATAAAAACAGTATGATATTATCAGAAATATATTCACTTCTTCAAATTTGATGATGGACTTTCGGTGTTCAAACACTAATGTTCACCTAAATAGACGCTAAAATTAAAATTTTATTCAGTCAGTGTAATTTTACATATTATATGTATAGACAGATATGTCATCATTTCATCCTTTGTCATATATTAATTTATTACATATTACATACATAATTAAAATCACAAGAAATGTATCAGGTAATTACTAGGTAAATTTTATTATATAGTTTTTTAAATCAACAAAGGGATTAAAAAATAGGAAAAATAGAAATATGGACTTGGAAGTGCATTGTATAATTTAAAATAAAGATATAATAATATGTATATTTAGTAAGTAAGTATAGAATCTAATTATATTATACATACCTATTACTTATCAGGTACAAAACAAAATACCTACCTTTTTTACGAGGTTTTTACACTTCCATCATGCTCCCCTGGGCACTTAACTTTGTAAATTGGCCTCTAAAGTGAAATAATTCTTACACGTTCCACCGATCGTTACTAATTTATAATGTTTGAAAATGTATATTATATTAGTCTCACTGACTCTTGGACCTCCGATATTATAAAAGCAACAGTTTTGGAAATCATTCCACCATGGCTAAGTTTTATTTATGTGTAAGTATACTGTCCACGACAGTATCCAAAATTCCAAACCAAAACATTATTTTAGAAACGGAAGTATTCATATCCATATCCAATACAACTGGGGAGACCCAATAGTACCGGGAAATGGAGTGTATACGATTTGGTGAATTTTCTATTTTTTTCTGTGTCATTTGTAAAATATCACTATCATAGTATCGTCAATCGATGCTTTTAAAATGTAATGACCACGATTTATATGCTATTCGGTATAAAGTATTAATCATAATATAATTTACTGATATACGTAAAAACACGAATAAAATAAAAAAGCGAAGAACGTTTAAATGAGGCTATAAAAAAAAAAAAAAAAAAAAATGCATTAACATCATTACCTACATAGGTCGTTATAATTCTGTTTCCTCTAAAACTACAAAATATTATGTAAAACGTTAGACTTTATTACTTAAATGAAAAAAAAAAAATACTGATAAGTATATTCTTGTCGTTTATTTATCGGATAATCGCGTAATGGACAATATTGTGTGAGTGCACAGATATTACTTTAAAAACATGAACGAGTTGTCCAAACCATATAATATACAGAGGCTCATTAATCTCTGTCAGAATTTTGATTGAACTGTATCGTTATTTGTACAGATGAGTGAATTGTTGTATACGTCTGCGTTAGACGAATGATGATCAAAGGACAGTAAAAAAACAGTATGGACAAAAATATACTAATCAGGTGGTTGTGGTCGTTGGCCACGCTAAATAATTTATTATACAATTATTGTACGTATAGGTACATTATAAAATATTAATTTGTTACGCAACAACATTTTAAAGAGAATTTTTGTTTTAAAATCCTGATCAATCAAATTGTTATCATTATTTGATTTTTTTTCAAAGTATAGCTGTGTGTAATATCAGACATGACATCGAAATGAAAATATAATAATACACATCTATATGCTGACGAAGCCATAAAAAAAAAGGCCGAAATAATAATTTACCTATATTTGTGAACGGAAATTTAAGCAAATATTAGTTTATTATTATTGAATGCATATTTTAGTATCCACTGTATAGGTTACGCACTATTAAAAAATAAACTAATATGTTCTGGAATTAATTTAAAAACTAGCTTTTATGCATTATGAAGTCAACAAAAGTTATTTAAAGTTTTTAAAGTTTCCACTAAAAATTATTATTATTTATTTACATGTAAACCATGACTTTTTTGGTAATTTCACGAGTCTGTTAAATAATTTCAAACAGTTTTACTAAATTATGTCATGGAAAATGTATATGTTGTTTTACAACAAATTTATACTCTCAAGTTTTAACATGAAGCATTTCACCAATAACCATTAAAACAAAAAGTCACCCAGTATTTTATATAAAATGTATAAGTAGGTATTGCAAAATTGTTATTCCATATTTGTATGCATTGCTGCTAATGGTGCATACATTTGAACTACAATATTATTCTGTACCTATACTTATTTAATGAAATACAAGCAGACTACACGGATATTGTATAATATTATAATAAAACAAAATTATTAAAATTACGCGTGGCTATACAAATTAAACATGTTTAAGATATATTATATTGTTACAATATAATAATATTAAGTGGCTTGGAGCAATGGTTGAATTCAGTCACAAAAGGTGTTCTGAGTGCAAGTACTGGCCGGTGTCACTAGTTCCCGGATGGGTGACCGGTGACCTGCACGCGGGGTTAAGTGACTTATCCTTGTCAAAAATACAAACACGTGTTCTAACCCAACCATACCTCCCCCTACAAACAGCTAATGGCCAAGGTTGCCTGACTTAAAGATCAATAAAAATAAATATATATAATAATAATATTAAGTTAATGATAAAAACGTAGCGAAACCACTGAAACTCAATGCTTGAGAACATCAAACTGAGAGTCATTAAAAAAAAAACAATTGTCAAGATTACTTGACTAAGAGAGAATAAATCTTCAAAAATAAATGCAGAATAAGACACTCCCTTCTTACTTATTCATATATGATCGGCAAGGAACCCAGGCCATCATGTGACGTATCACACATGCAGAACACCCCTAAAAATTGAATATACTTAACTATCAACTGCCCAAAATACTCAACAACCCAATGATATCAGAAATGGCTCTCAACTAATAAACCTGAGAATACCTATATTTAAGTTATTTTTAAACATTTAACTATATCTTGATACAAAAATTATAATTTAAACCAGAAAAATGTATTAAATTAACAAACTATTTTATCGTTTAATGTCTATATATGATGTAAAGATATATAGTATTTTGAGGTCCCAATACTCAGAAAAGAAGATTAAATAAAAAATGTATAGGTATACTATCATCTCAATCCTATCGCTTAGTATTTTTTTTCACATTCTCAAATCGACTGAATATATTTTTGTACGCTTATTCAAGTAGATAATATAATATTATATTGCGTATATTTTAATTAGGTAATACAATAGCAAGTAATTGTTTTGATTTTATCAATACCTATTTATATACATTTTATAATATATGATTAAATTTAACTTAGGTACGAAGAAACTTCATTGTTGTAGTTTATAAGTAAGATTTTTTTCTGCATTTTTTTTTATTTAATCAGGCATTTTCAACAAAAATATAGGCTAAATTGATTAAATATTGTATCTATATGAATTTCAGCAGAAGATAAATGTTATTTATATAAAAGTATATAGATATTATGTACATAGAAAATATGATATTTCATGTCTGAAATGTTGCTAAGTGCAGTATAAAGTTTCATAAAAGGTTTTAAATGATGTCCACTATTTCAAGACCAATGATTTATACGATAAAATATAATAAATAATCATTTTCAATAAAACGAACTAATGAATGTATGTCAGTCATATGTGTATACATTAAAACGTATCATAATGATTTATGGGAAATTTTCCTGAAAAAAAAATAAATCGTTTGTTCACATCAATGTTGACCATTTTAAAACAATAGTTTTAAAAAATAAAGCTCGGCAATATATAGCTTCAAAATTTGTTTCATTTAGAACACTAAACAAATTACCATGGACACATTCAGGACGTTGTGGCTCTTAATGGGACTGCTTGCAGTCTAGTAAGTATACAATATTATTATAGCCATCATAAAATTAAACTATACTGCGCATCTGTTTGATATTATTAATAAAGTAAAAGTATGGTTTTAAAATAATTGCGCATAACAGTGATGCATTATATTATCATTGTGTTATTATTTTTGTTACAGTGATACTTTTAATAATTATGAAATTGGTTTTTGTTATTTTTTTTTTCATAAAATAAAGATTTAAAAATTTAGTAACATCGTCTCATTTTCTAACAAACCAATAGATCTACGATTTTATATTATTATGTTAATGTGTAGTTATTTAATTTACTTTTACCGTTTAGGCAATTACCTAAGACCCTACGTTCTTACTTCTTATACATCCTGTAGACTGTAGTTGATACTATCTATTTACGCTAGAAAATGAAGTAAATAAATACTTTTTAATTAATAAATACCTATATAATAATAATGTAATAAACGCACATATTGTGACATTATGATGCATAAACACGATTTTATTATATTTACCTATTATGTATTTATGTTTAATAATGTACTAAACATTTTATTTTTATAAGTATTTTTAAATTCAATAAATAGTGTTCAAAATATAGTATAATATTTTCTAACAAAAATTAAAGGTCAGTTCTTCATAGTATTCAATATCGATTGAGGCACAGACACTTTGGTGGTTTTAGTCAGTTCTTGTATTTATATGAATTCGTATAATTTTTTTATAGAATACATATATAGTAATAATATTTATAAGGTACTAAAAATTCATAAAATATCTAAAGTTTATTTTAATATACACTACTAAATTACATAAATTTAAGAATTTTAAATGTTTATGAATCTATTATCCCAAAAGATTGACATACATCATATTACTTAACATATATACCTAACTATTATATTATACATTATATAAACAAATATATTTATATATATATTAAACAGTATAGATATATAATTTAGTGTACATAATTTTAATTTTTAAATCGTATTTCTCACATTTTTACATAACTTGATTTTATTATTTTTAACTCCCCTCTAACCCCATACAAATGGGGCATTGGCCAAATAATATATTTTGTTTTATATATTATATATATATAAATATCGAATTTAAAATATTTTTTCATATTCTAATATAACTAATTTTCTAATAATTTCTAGCTTACATAATATATTTCAATAACATAACTTACATTGTACTATTAAAAACTTACAAATATTCAAATTGTAGTTTTTTTTAATTTATTATATAACATATATTATGTATTTGATTTTATTTAAGCTTGGAAAATGGAGTCGAGTCATTTATTAACTTACCATTCAATAAAAAAGGGAATGCAGCAAACGACGTTATGGCACAGAGGGCATCGGAGAATAATGTAGTTCACAGTGTTACAACTACTCGTTCCGTGGTAGTTGAAAAAAAATCAACAACTTTCAAGAAAAAATGTTGGTCAGATTTAATAGACGATAAAGCATTGAGTATAAACACATTGGAGATGTGTCAGAAATATGGGTATAACGTAGAAGGCTTGTACGTCGTACCAGAATTTTTGAGACTCCTTAATTCACTAAACCGAGAACAATGCAGTATGGCTTCTAGAATCTCTTATCCTAGAGATTACAGTCTGTCTATCAAGAACGACGACGAGTTTGATATTATCATAGTGGGTTGTGGAGCTTCAGGGTCGGTTTTGGCTGCTAAACTTAGCGACGAGAAAAATTTGAACGTTTTGGTATTGGAGGCTGGAGGTACGCCACTCATGCAATCTGAGATACCCGGACTCTGGGCCAATTCGATTGGTTCCGAAATGGATTGGAAATATACCGCACAAGAAGACGAAACGTTTGGTCAGGGTTTAGAAAACAAATGTGTCAAGGTCATTCGTGGAAAATGCTTAGGAGGAACTACGGCTCTGAATACTATGTTGTATGATCGAGGTATAGAATCAGATTACACTAAATTTGAATTGGCAGGTTTAACCAAATGGAGTTGGGAAGACGTTTTGAAATACTATAAACGTTCAGAAGACTGTAAGTTTGAGAAAATCACCACACATGAAACAGTAAGTAGATCTCATAGTGTTGGTGGAAAACTATGTGTAGATTCGTTCCGTAACACGAGGACTGTTGAAATCAGACAAGTCTATTCTAAGGCGTTAAATGCGGTCAATTATGATACATTAGACTTCTTATCGGTAAAGAATCACCAAGGTTTTGTTTCATCTGTAGCAATCGTTAAAAACGGTTTACGTGTGAACACAGCGAAAGCCTTTTTGAAAAATGCTAACAGAAAATACAATCTAAAAATATCAGCCAGGTCTTTAGTCAAAAGAGTAATATTCGAAGGTAAAAAAGCTGTAGGCGTAGAGTTTGAAAATTCAGTTGGAGAACTAATTCAAGTCAAGAGTAAGAAGGACGTTATACTGTGTGCTGGTCCGATAGGCTCTCCAAAACTACTCTTAGAGTCAGGTGTTGGGCCAAAGGATCTACTCGATTCATTGGGCATTCCCGTGGTCGTAGAGAATGATAACGTGGGTTCGAATTTGCAAGCTCATCCAAATTTCTTGGGTATAGTAGTTAAATTTGAAATGCAGCCGGTCAAGTCATACTCTATCAGTGAAATGGTCTTTGAATACTTAATGAAGCATACTGGACCTTTGGCCACAATAGGGATGTGCAGTTTTACCGGTTTTATAGATATTGATGGAAATGGTGTTCCGGACATTCAAATATTCTTTTACTATTACTCTCAGGACGACACTGTATTCATGCCTTCACAATTGGACGCTATGAACTTAAACGACAACATCACGGAACAGATAATCGACCTTAATGAAGATAACGATATTAAAATGATCGGTATTTCACTGCTCCGTCCAAAAAATACTGGTAAAGTGACTATAAATAAGACTTGTGGTGGTGACGAATATGAACCAGTTATAGAATTTGGTTCTTTGGATGATGAGGATGTTGACACGCTAATGAAAGCTATCCAATGGGTAAAAAATCTTATACAATCAGAAGCGTTTAAACATTATGGACCAGAGATCGTTCCTTTAAAATTTGAGGGTGGCCCAGAGCCGGACGTGGACAGCGATAAATATTGGAAATACGCCATCAAACAATTGACGATAATGAATATCCAGATGACTGGTACATGCTCCATGGCGACAGAACCTTCTAAAGGGGTTGTGGATGAAGACCTTGACGTCTTTGATACCGACGGATTGATGGTTGTGGATTCTTCTGCACTTCCGATAATGTTCAGTGCTGAAAGTTGTGCTCCGTCCATCATGGTCGCAGAGAAAGCTTCTGATATCATAAAGACGAAATTGGGATGCAATGACGATGAAGACAACCAAGACTCATCGGATGATAATTCTGAATAAAATTACCTACCAACTTATATAATATTATATACTTTTTAAGTCACACGAGAGAACTTGATCCCTGATGAGTGTTGTAATACATGTTAATAAAATGCAATTAATTATGCAGTGAAAATATTAAATATTGTATTATAACAAATATGCTTCCTTTTCACGAGATTTTAAAAGTACTGTGAGATAATTATCATTATTTATTATCAGTGAAACTATTGGCCTGTGTTGCCGATGTTTATTTTCGATCAATAAAAAAAAATACGTTTACGATAATCGTATTTTTAAGTAGCATAGACATTTTCAAACATCTGTAGATTATAAAGAAACAAATCTTATGCAAATAAAATAAAATAGAGCGCCTTTGCAACTAAGTCAGACTCAAATAATATGAAAAACAAATCACATAAAATGAATGGTCGAATAGTTGTAGAAAACTATAAACAAAAGGGAGTTTTATTTGTGAAAGTAGGTAATTAGAGTTTATTTAAATTTTGTCTGCAGTTTTAATTATTTTAATTCCAAAAACTTTGATTCAGAACTATACTCAATATCAACAAAGATGTAGTATTTAAAAGTGGTGATTGTAGGTAAGGAAATGGAAACTCAATTAACGCACCATTTGTTTAAGAATTAGTGAGTCACTTTAAATCCTCGGGAGGTCAGATATGTCTTCGAAGCTATGGCTGTAGTTTAAATCATAAAATGAATAATAAAACATTGAAATTTATTCTAAATAACCACTAGATATTAAAAAAAACTAGATACATTTGGAAAAAAATATTACTGAAATATTATTGGATTTTAAAGAAGGACAAAAAAAAACCAATTGTGTCAACGCTAGTAGTTTCGAGCAATAAATAATAATTTGAGGGTTAATCTATGTTTATTGGAGATGACGTCGAGGAATTGCTGTACCCGATTATAATCCACCCGTGCGTTCATCTTTTATGTAGCATCAAACCAACCGTTTCAAAACGAGACTTCCCTCTGTTCATTAAGCTCTTCTGCTCGCACACGCAAATTTAATTATTACAGACTGACGACTGTGGAAGATTCTGGTTCGAGCAAAACTGTCCAATTTCTGAGGAAAAATACATAGAAGCTGTCAAGGATTCTACAGGGGGTTAAGCATATAATAAGAATGGCATCGCTTTTTCATTTTCTTCTTATTTTTCTCCTTCTTATACTTATGCTATTCATTTACAACAATCTGGAATAATTATATTTTATTTCAATAAAACTAGTCAGATATTATACTCTCGGGCGAAATAACGAGCGAAATGCAATTTGTGTAATGGATTGCGAACACAATATATAAGCTTTTCTATTCTTTTGAAGTATTTTTTTTTATAATAATAAAGAAAAAAATGTATAACGCTCATATAAAAAATAAACCATTAACTATTACGCCGTTGATAATGTTGAATAGATAATAGTTTAGGCAAAAAGAAAAACATTCATATTATACATAATATATATATAGGATATACCTATATACCTACTGCATAGTGTTTTAAAATGAATACGGCCAATAATTTTTCACATGACAATGTAGGACATAATTCCTATATAGGTATGTACTTCAATGTTCGAGATGTATTTTCAGAAGAGATGAATTTATTTTTCGTAGCAATAACAACATATTTTTCTCTTTGCCAATTTGTAAGCTATTATTATAGTGTTGGTATATCATCATTAGACACACCAACAATTGAGAAATGTGATAAATAGTTAAGCCAATTATTTTATTTTGGTACCTATATTATGTAGTATATTACACTCCGTGAACCAATTTATTTTAGCGACCAGAAGTCGTGATTTTAGAAATTTTTAAATAAAAAACGTTATAACTTTGTAGGTACTTTTACCAATTTTTAATGAACATTGGGACGAATTCTTTATTGCAAAAGTTTAATAATATGTTTTAATTATAAACATTATTAGTTTAGTTTGATGTACCTAATAATAACTGCCCTGGATAAAACAAAAACAATAATATCATACATAGTAATATAATATTATAGTATGGTCGTATACTCTTTGAGATAGCTAGTATAATTATATACAAATATGGCCATTACTGAGTAGTAAATTATACATAGTCATGTATATATTTAGATGGTCACTTGCTGGAGCACTATAAATTTAAGGGGTTAGAACTGCGTTCCTATACTTAGATTTATACGTTAAATGTGTGTTATACGCACTGGTGTAATCCTCGATTTTGGGCAAGTCAAAATTACTCGGATAAGATCGATCTTACCCTAATTCAGACATTACCCAAAGGAAATGTAATAAACGGTTAATCTGTACTACATTATCATCAGGGTAAATATAACATTATCTATAAGAGGTTTTGACTAAGTAGGACGGTGCTCGATAAGGGATGGCAGCACTGGTGTATAATTATTATTACATCTACTGTTTGTAATAATTATATGGTAGGTATGTAGCCATGTAGGTAAGTACAATTTACAAACTATACAGATTACAGAAGCATTAGACGTAAACAAAATAATTATAAATTACAATATAAGTATACAACTATGTAGGCGTATCTATTCAAATGTACCAAATTATTTTCATTTTTCGGTGTAGAAAAAAATGGTTTTAAAGCACGAGTGAAACATTTTTATCAGTATTTTTGGGATTATTGTTATAAGTTTGTTAAAATATTTATCTCAGGTCTAATAAATTTAAATCATTTATTTTTTTTATATCTACCTGTTAACACCTATAACATTGTCTCTAGCCCAGTGACTTTGGGTAGGTACTTACTTAAACAAAATATATCTTAATTTATTTTGATTTATGACTATCCACTAGTCCAAATATGATAATATGATTTATATCAAATAACCCATGCATGGTCGAGTAAAGTAGGAATAATTTTGTACCTAATCAAATTATTTTATTTTTTGACATAACACAGATTATAGTTTGTAAAAATTACATCATTTTCTGAATTCGTTATCATTAATTTAATATAACTTACTATTACACATTTTCCTATAGGCCGGCTATATCTCTAATTAAACATTTTACGAGTTAAAAAATAAAAATGTACAGTAAACTGTAAACATACAATTATGATACTATACTTTCATTGGTTTAAATATTTTATTTATTTTGAATTTTGTTAAACAATAATATTGAACGTAATATTAATTTTATGTAACGAACAACTACATTACTCGAAGACAGTCGTGATTCTTAAAATATACTTACAATATTCGATTGACTGCAAATAAAATTTAATATAATTAATAAAATATTTTAATTTGTTGTGAAATTGAAAAAAAACGTAGGTACCTCGCATTGTTAATTAATGGAAATTACCATTTTTACTACAAATTAATAATATAAATAAATAAATATATTTTATTTTTATATGTAATAAAATATTTGTAATAAATCAATAAATTATTCAAAACCACGACATGCTTATATTATAAATTATAATCACAAATGTTCGAATACCTAGGTACATACATTATGCATTAATTTAAGAATATTGTAATTCCAATATTTTTTTTTAATTCTAAACCGAGTTGTAAATGTCTATTGGCTTTTTAATGATCGGTATGTGTTTTTTTTGTGTGTGTCAGTCCCTTTGTTTCTATTTTCAGCTAGTTTCTGGTTGAAAACTGGATCTAGTTAGTACTGTACTTTTTTCATTTTTTTTTAGGGGGGGAGGGTACTTATTAAAACATTTTACAACTTTTGGACTAATTATGTATTCATAATAGACATTTCATATTCAAAATTCAACAACCTTGGACATTTTACAAAAAATAACGATTTTAGTTATTTTGTTTTAATTAAAAATAAATATTATTTGTAGGAGTTTGAAACTCATCACCATCACGTACAGTGAAACCTCCTTCAATGGATACCTCTAAATAGTAGACACCTCAAAATAACGGACTTTTTTGGGAACAACTACAACATTTCTACGAAGTGAACTCTCTGAATAGTGGACAAATATTGGGTAACCAAGAGTGCCCGGTATTTATAAGTTCCACTGTATTATTATTTATCAAAAACAACTAATTTTTCAAAGAATTCAGATAAATTCTAAGTTATTTATACCACAGACCTATTCACACAGTTCTACGATACGTTGGTATTGACTTATAAGTTAATAACTGCAGCTAGTTATGAAATAATATTGTAATATAGGTACATGCGATTTGTTATTCAAAAATTAGTTCAACCAACCAATAGAAAATAAAATTATCCATAGCAATAAAAATATATAATAAAATACATTTAGAAATATCTCCGCACAAAATCGGTGTTCATCGTATTCAAATTTAGGACAACCATTATAGCATCCATTTCAATAACGATGTGCACTCGATACCCGCGGTATACCGCAGATCACTTGGCCAGTTTTTTGATTTGACGAAAATAATAAATTAAAATATATGTTGTATTGTCACCAGCTATAATTGTCATATTATAATATCTGTAGGTATGCCTAATGTAAAACAAAATATTTACAAATGACATTATGAGAAAAATTACAAATATTGGCAGAATACGCAATCACGTAATTTAAAAGTAAAGTGACATTATGCTACTTTTCTTTCTATATTATTATATCGTTTTATATTTTTTATTTTTTTTTTGAGCCTTAGCCGAAAAATTCTGGATTTGAAATTGCTGTTAGAAATTACCTGAATTTAATTGAATCAAAAATGTTCGATAATTTAAATTACGTTATAAATATAATTTTTTTCTCGAGTATCATATTATTCCAGATACTATATAGATATATAATCATTATATTATACACCATACATATATAAATATATGTAATATATTATGTAGGTTTATATTTATTATATATAGGGCGTACAATATGTATAATGCAAAGAATATTTTATCGTAAAAATAGTGAAGTTAGCAATCCTCACGTTTTAACCTTTATTTTTTTTTTTTCATTTTCCCCATGACTATTTATGGGGGCATTTCGATTTCGTTGGTCACACGCTCGTATA